CCTCTAAGACATCAGAGGTGGGATCAGGTGCCATGGAGGAGTGAGCACCCCCTGTCGACCGGCCACACCCGCTGTGTGCTCCTTGTCATGATCGGGAAATAACGGAAAAATCTGTCGACAATTCAGTGTGTAAATAATGGCTTAACAATTAGTATGAAAAAAGTCAGTCAGCATTTGACTTCATGATAGATTGTATTTGCTGACTAGGTCATTGCATCGACCATAGAACTTACGAAATGATGACTTTAAACGAGACTACTGATATTCTTGTTTCATCAACTTGTTTGTCAATAATTTACCTATTTTTGGAAATTGTTTATACGTAGAGCATGCTCTGGCGTATCGAATCAACTGAGAGATATACACTCCATATGCAGGTGATATATTGCTGCATAGGTAAGGGAAGTCGATGATTGAAAAGTTAAAGTCATCACGTTCATCATAAAGCTTTGTTGTTAGATTACCATTAACGTCTTTTTCAATAAAATATCCAAATATGAAACAGATGTGTCAGTCTCTGTGGTATCTTTTCCATTTAATCAAATGGAATGAAACTTCACACATCGACAAAATAAAAGTTTTTACATGAGAAAATGTTGATCTTAAATCTTGTAAAAACAATATGATGATGATGGAAATTGTCTACGTATTTTTGGAATGTCCCTCGTAGTTTTCATATTTTTCATTGATACACACCAAAATTTATACTTTCCTTGAGTATTATGGATAAGGTTTACTTTGTGAAAGTGCAAGGATATGTGTCAATCAAACGCGTCCCCAAATTTGTAGTTCTAATAATTTCCAGATAAAAGAAGTTTCTAAATACGCTTTTAAAATATTTCGGCGTGAAATGCTCAAACAAGATTTAAGTCATGATAGTATTTAGAAAGCTTTAGAAAATATGAACTTCAAATCTGTGTTTAAGCCCCTTTAAAACCCATGGATTACAAAAATTGATTTAGAAAATAATGCTATCTTAAATCAGTTCATAATTTTTTTGTACCACAATACATAAAATTCAAGTAACACATAAGTAGAACATGAATTGAAGCTTGTTCAAAGCACATTTTAAACTCATTTGGAGACATTTGTACAAGGATAACGTTATATATGAAAATGTTCTAAAAAGCGCATAACAAGATTTATACATGTATATAAATAATTTATACATGTTTCAAGAATATAAATATAAGACTCCAAAGTCTGACGGTGACGCTAAAGTCCGATGGTCTGCGCCAAACCCCGGTGGTTTGATGTCAGTATGGACGCCAATCTCCGATGGTCAAGCCGAAGTCCGATGACTCGTTTCCTATGAGACGCACTGCGCTAAAGTGCGATGGTCTGGTACGCCAAAGTCCGATAGTGCGGAGAAACAACCAACATTTATGACCTCACAATATTCCGACGTCAATCCTTGACGCCGTTGTCCTGCATTCAAAAGCTATTATATCTGAATTCGTCCTCGCATACAATTCTATTGATTTGGCTTATTGCGTGCACCTTTCAGTTATAGTAAGATTAGTCTTCGCACACCACTCCACTGATTAGGATTAGTCCTTGCTTCGCACCAACCCGAGAGATTTAGGGTTAGTCCTCGCACACTAGTCGACTGATTAGGGTTAGTCTCGCACCCACTAAAGATATCTAGGTTATAGTTGTTACACACTTTTCAAGCGATTAGGGTTAGTTTTTGGGTTAGTTTTTGCTAATGATATTTATTAAAAGACCTTGGCATGGCGCGGCATTGCAGTATGGCACAGCAGTACTATGACGTCATAAACGTTAATTTTTTCCGCACCATTGGACTCTGGCGTGTCAAACCATCGGGGTTTGCCGCAGACCATCGGATTTGGCGTGACCACAGAACTTTGGAGTCCCATCGCACTTTGGAGTCATATGAATATATATATATATATATATATATATATATATATATATATATATATATATATATATATATATATCACATCAACATATAATATTTGAAAATATCTATATTGCTAATTTATATACGATAAGTTCATGTTGCATTCATAATAAAGATTCGACAAACATAACTCTACAGCAGAAAAAATAAATTTATTTGCATGCAAGTGTATGTGTTGTATTATATGTCTACATTTAAATGTGGCAGGTATCAGGATGTTTCTTTTTTCACCTGTAAAGCTGCTCCCGTTGATATGGAATAGGTTGTAAATGGAAGAAAATGGAAAAATCACAAATGAGAACATGTGCACATAAAATGTAACAAAAAATATAATTATTACAAATAGTATCAAAGATGGGAATTCTACAATGATCGGAAATAGAACAATGCCAAAAGTCCCTAATCTTTTATTTTTAAAAAAAAATTGATATTTGCATACTTTAGCAATCAAATATTTGAAAAATATTTTAAAGACCAAACCCTTAAAATATAGCACATACGACAAAGCATTGCAAAGAAATCGATGTGATAAGTAAGGCTTTTCACAATCCAAGTTTATCCAAGATATAAGGTACATAAATGAGGTATATTTTATAATAATGGAATTAAATTAAGCCAATGATAGTTAAAAGCTTTCCTCTGGACTCCCTGCTATTATGTCAAAGGACATTTATATGTTTTCGGAAGCTTGCCTATTTCCTCATAAATGTATTCTACTGTTTTCATAATGTTTTTTTTCATTTTCAATTAAAAAAAATGTTTATGAACGCATTTTTAACTTAAAAAAAAATAATGTATGTTTTGTTGCTTAAGTATTAAATGTACCAAGGATTTACACAAATGTATAATTTTTCAGAGGTACATGTAACACCCCCCCCCTTTATTTGGTATCATGTGTTGGATGTTGTCTTATATCCTTGATCTTGTGTATATAAATATTCCAGGGCAATCAATTTAGTTTTGCAAATATCAATTACAACTAACCTTAACAGGAATTTAGAGTTGAAATTCATAATCATAGTATTCAGAGACAATATTACAATACTACGTAAAATTATGATTAAGAAAACGTGGTAATAAAATATCCAGATCAAGCATGAAGAAAACTGAGTTAAAATTATTCAAGGCATTTGATTTCCAAAACTTAAATTGTTATCAAAATTTCAGTAAAAGAGTGAGGAACGACAAAAGATTGGTCAGAAGGAAAAGAAGGATTAGGGGGTTTTCCATATATAAAAATTTAATTCAGAAATATTTTACGTGGAATGATGCAAGAACAAAAATTATTAATCACAGATAATATTTCGCTTTGTTGTCAAAACTGAATAAAAGTTGTTTTATCAGAGTAATACAGCATTCACAGGTTATATTGTACGCAAAGTTGAATGTATATTTTCAATTTTATAACATAAAATAGAAAAAAATATCCTCAAACACTTGATGGTTCGTTCTCTCAATGGTAAAATGAAATGAAAATGACAAAATACTGGAAACCGTATATCTGAAGTCATGTAGAGAATGGCAATTATAAAAAATGAAGGTTTAGAACATATTTCGCCTAACTTTTATTGAAAATATAAAATGTAAATAATGTCTCAAACATTAAAAATCAGGAAAAAACAAGATGTGTTTGTGAAACACTGATGCCCCCGTATGGAACTTATAGCAAAGGTTAAACTTTCTCAAATGCAAATCAAATATGTTGGTACCCAAAGTAAGGTCTTGTCTCGAGGAATATATCTGTGAAATATGAAAGCCCTAGCAGCAACCATTGAATAGATATGGAAAAGGTTAAAGTTTTTCAAAAGTAAGTCAAACATCAAGGTCAAATGGTCAAAATTAATGTTGCCTAAGGAAAGGCCTTCTCACAAGAAATATGAAGGTGAAATATGAAAGCTGAAGCACCAATTCAGAAGTTATGACCAAGGTTAAAGTTTTTAAAAAGTAGGTCAAACTCCAAGGTCAAGGTCAATGGATTGCAATTGTTGGTATCAAAAGGAAGGTCTTGTCACAAGGAAAAACATTTTAAATAAGAAAGCCCTAGCAACAACTTTTCAAATGTTGTGTCCAAGGTAAAAGTTTTTCAAAAATAAGTCAAACTCCAAGGTCAAGGTCATAGGGTCAAAGTTATTGGTATCCAAAGGAAGGTTTGTCAAAACGATTACATATGTGAAGTATGAAAGCCCTAGCATCAGCGTTTCAAAAGTTATTGCCAAGGTTAAAGTTTTTCAAAAGTAGGTCAAACTCCAAGGTCAAAGGGTCAAAGTTGTTGGAATCCAAAGAAAGGTTTTGTCACAAGGATTGCATATGTGAAGTACCAAAGCCCTAGCATCAACTGTTCATAAGTAATGGCCAAGGTTAAAGTTTTTCAAAAGTAGGTCAAACTCCAAGGTCAAAGGGTCAGAGTCGTTGGTATCCAGAGGAAAGTCTTGTCACAAAAATAACATATTTAAAGTATGAAAGCCTTAGCAAAAGCCGTTCAAAAGTTATGGTCAAGGTTAAAGTTTTTGAAAAGTAGGTCAAACTCCAAGGTCAAGATCAAAGTGTCAAAGTTGACGGTATCCGAAGAAAGGTCTTGTCACAAGAATTACATAAGCTAAGTATGAAAGCCTAAGCACCAACCGTTCAAAAGTTATAGCCAATGTTAAAGCTTTTCAAAAGTAGGTCAAAGTCCAAGGTCAAGGTCAAAAGGTTAAGTTGTTGGTATCCAAGGGAAGGTCTTGTCACAAGGATTACACATGTGAAGTATGAAAGCCCTAGCATCAATTGTTCAAAAGTTGTGGAGATTAAAGTTGGGAAAAAATTTGCAAAACTGGGTCAAACTCCAAGGTCAAGGTCAAAAGGTCAAATATGGTGGTACCCAAAGAAAGGTCCTGTCACAAGGAATACACATGTGAAATATGAAAGCCATAGCTCGAACCAATCAAAAGTTATGGGCAATGTTAAAGTTTTTGCGGACAAACAGACAGATGGTCGGACAGGGCAAAAACTATATACCCCCGAATCTTCGATACGGGGGCATAAAAGAACAAAATAGACATTTCAATATCTGTAACTAAAATGCTTTTGGTTTCAATCTTAATGTTTAATACTCCTGGAAGGAAAAAGATGATTTTGGTTTCGACATCATAGATTGAGTAGCAAGTTTGCTCTGGGAATGCTTCAGTTTTGAGGTGGGACGTTCATCTGCTGCATTTCAATGTCATTACCCTAAAAGATAAGTGTAAGATTTTACTTAATTTTTCTCGTTGCTTAAAAGCGTTTTAAAAAATGCATCTATCATGTACTAGTAGTTAGAGACAACAGTGTCTGCTAAAAGCAAAATAGATCATAAACTGATGAATCTCATCATGCAGCAAACAACTACTGAAATATAAAAAGAACCTTTCCCCGATAGCATTGAAATAAGTATTTCTTTATAGAATTGTTAGTTTCCTTGTAAATAAAGCAATAAAATAAAATATAAACAAATGCATAGAGCACAATCACTAAGCCAAAGAGGCTCTATAGATAATAAGATGACACACACGCTGTAACCACAAGACCAGAGGGTGGCTTGGGTTGCTGCAAGTTACTTGACAAATCTTTTACACTCGTATAAGAACCTTCCAAAATGATATAAATATTTTTTTAGAAAAGTATAAGAAATGAAAAGATTCGTCTGCTTCTTATAGTCCTTTCATGTGAAGATTAAGTTAAAGAATGGCCAAAATACTTATCTGTGCTAGACAAGCAACTTATAGTTTCGTATTAAAAGATCTGCTAATCCACGTTGAAAAGTAAAATAAAAAAGAATAGTAAAAACTAGAGAATCTCAGAGTTTCATACTCTTTTGCACAAAGTATATGAGTATGCTCCAAAACATTCCGAATACGATTGAGCGTTCAATGTTGAACATGTACACCCCGTTGTAAGCAAAAAAAAAATGTCGTGCTCAACTGTTCAACAGCAAAATATATGATGGTTAGTGGAAGCTAGCAAGATAGTTGCGTCTTTTTTCTCGCATAATTATTAATTTACAATTTAGTACTTGCTATGGACACTGGCATGATGTGATATTAAACTTGACTGGCGCTAATATTGCACAATTTTAAAATAAATACCAATACCGAAAAATTCGCATTAATTTTGGGTTATTTAATTGAAATCATTAATATAAATTATTGAGAATTGTTTAAGCTGATTAAATTCTTATCTTTTATTTATAAGTATTCAAAAAATCAAGTACAAGGTCCGTTTACTAAACTGTTTAAATTATACAATGATTTTCATTGTCAGGTCATAGGATTTACTGAGTAGACACTTGACGTTTTCGAAAATATGTTTTTTGTGGCGTATCAGATATTAGTGAGATCTGGAAAATAAATGCCAACAAAGTTAAGCAGTCCGGAATGGAAACAATGTAAAATCTCTACGCGCAACGTTCAGGCGACAAGCGGTTATTGGGGTATTGCAGAAGTTGATAATGAAAAATGTAATTTTTCCATTGCAACAATTCTACTGCTAGAAAATCCTAAACAGCATTTAAAGATATTTGAGAATTTAGTCTTTTTCGGGCAATCCCCTGTCTGCAGATTTAATTTTTTAATAGCTCGATGTTTCCACACTTGCATTACTGACTCTATTTTTACGCATTTATAATATATAATAAGCGATAAAAACACTCGTTATACCTGCAATTTAAACCAAATTCACAAAACTAGGATTTTTTAATATTGTAGCGAGAGGTGAAAAATTATAGAGCTCTGTGTGCTTTTTAAGCTCACATTGTCTTTCGCACAAATTATGGTCACATTATTCTAATATTTATAACAAACATTATCTAGGTTACATGTAAATACATGTATACATAATAATCCTGACATATATTTGATATGTAATGTCTAGGGTACATGCCCTTAAAAATATTATTTAAAGTTTTCAGTTGAGGGGGCACTATCTTGTCTAGACAAGCAAAAAAAGGATATCAGACGTTTTTATTGAGGGGGCACACGCATATAATAGCTATGTTTTCTATAGTAAACTATATATCGGCAAAATTATTTTCTATAGTAAACTATATACCGGCAAAATTATGGGGGGGGGGGAGCACGGCCCCCCGTGCCCCCCTCCCCCGGTTCCTACGGCCATGGATATAAATAGTAAATGGTACGATGTAACAAATATAATGATTCTACCATTTTTAAACTGAATTTATCGAGCTTTCTTTGATAATGTTTGGTGAAAACTTTTAAATTCACTTCTTAAAGGTGAGTATTTTCCTAAGTCCATATAATTTGCTTATCTATCGTACTCATTTCGGTTATATCGAAATGTAGCACCGAAAAGGGACCTAGCTGCGGATGGAAAGCATGCCAAATGGTAGGATAATTGAGCATTTTGTACCTTTGAAATTGGTTTGTTGATACTATTGAAGGTAAAATTCTTTTCATTTACGGTTTGTTACTTTGTAATTTTGCAGTGGAACGGACCTCTCTTGAAGCTAGATTTCAGTTAGTTACTTTGAAATTTGAAAAATGTCAGTTTATTAACATGGAAAGCAGTCGAACAGTCGGAACAGATGAGAAATACTGTGTTTTAATCTTGCGTTATCGAGTAATGTGAATGCACAGAAAATTCAAGTTATGGGTATTATATCTAGGCAAGGGAAATATTATAACATGCAGTAGTAAAGAGAGAGTCACTAAGAATTTAGAATCGTAGAAACCACAAAAAAACTTGCATTGGTTTGTAAATTGTAATATTTCCAACCAAAATAATTAAAGACCTATCAAATATTATTTTAATTAGTGTAATAAAATAGTATAAAAAAACAAACACGCTTAAAATAGATTTTGAAGTCTCGTTGAGGAGTTGTTATGATATCACTATTTTACAATGTGACGTTATTTTATGCAAAAAATCAGTGGGTTTAAAAAGAAAAATAGTGCAAAGCTTTATATCTTTATGTGCTATAAAGGTAATAGTCCAATTTTTTATTGTCACTGCTTTTACGGGATCTAATATATCCTTATCGTTTCTGCATGTATATTGCTTTTTGTAAAGTAATTTTAATGCGAAAAGAACCAGATATATATTGAAGTTATCACCACACCATTAATAAAAATCAACTTTTTTTAAATTTGATGATGAGTTTAACTGGTATTGGTGTTTTTAATTACCTCTTCTGTTGGGTTTCTCTTGCAATTTTTGCTTCTCTGTATCAAATATCTGTAAATACATAACAAAATTGCACCATGCCTATAAATCTTTCACTTATCACGCTGAGAAGCATTTCAGACATTTACATTCTATTTTCTAGACCTCGAGATCATAAAATTTCCAAATTTCTGAATTTTTGCAAACCCTCATGATATCATAAATTCTATTATAGGAACACATTAATGTAAGAGGAGTTTGTTGAAGAAGACAGTGAGACAGACAGACTGTCGGATCCAAATAAATATAATAGACCTGAATTTTTTAATAAGCTTGACACAAAAATCTTGAAAAAAAAAGCTTGATACATTGATTTTTACGACAAAATCGATAAATAATATGTAGCATAAATAATTAACGCAACATTTAATGATTTAACAATTTTTTTAGATGGATAACTAAGTGAAGATGTTTTAGATATGAACAAAGTTAATGATTATTTATATAAGATTTCGTATTTATACTATCGTAAATATGTAATAATAATAATAATAATTATAATAATAATAATAATAATAATAATAATAAATAAATAAATAAATAGATAAACTGATATTGCTTATAAGAACATATATACGTACTTAGACCATTTTGGCAACTTCCCAAAGAACATAACTGTAACTATCGTTAAGATAACAACGCATACAATAGTTATTGTTTGGATCCTGTAAGAAGAAAAGGAATTTTTCATGGAGTACTCAAATAGATGATTAATAGAAGAAAATGAATAAACATTACAATGCCAAAGTAAAACAAGAGACCCAAGGACTACATTGCTTACCTGAGCACTTTGGTTAGAGAACAACAGAAACAAGCTCAGCACTGAAAAGCTAAAATATATGTGGTCCCATCATACCCCGGCCCAGGGGTGATGTTTAAACAAACTTGCTTCCATACTCATATGAATAGTCAAGGCTTATCTGTTCTTGAGAAGATATTCCCATGTAAAACTTTGCCTGATGCGGCATCGACCTACCCCAGGGGGTAATAATAATAATAATAATACTTTATTTATAGAAGGTAACCCGATAAGTGCAAGCACTGTAAAGCAAACTTTAACCCCATTACCTATTAATATGACAAATAATGGTTTTGCTGCTTTCTGAAAAATGATTATTAAAGATACATGTACTCCATTTAATTTTGATTTTCTGTCGAGGCCAAATCTTTCCCCGGGCTATGCTTTGAACTAATTTAAATCTACACAACCTAAGAATGCTTTCATATCAATATGCATAAGTTGTTATTGAGAAAAAATCTAAAGATGATCGTCACTTGTGATCCTACCCTACCCTGCGGGGTTGTGATTTAAACAAATTAAAATCTTTATTACCTATTGTTTCCAGGACAATATTACTAATCATACGTTTGCTGTTCTTGACCAGAAGATTTCTAAAGATTTTTGCATATGTATTTCTATGTAAAAATGTTATCATCCATTCTGGTCTCACTCTACATCCCGAGGTAATGTCTTGAAATAATTTGATTTTACAACCTAAGGAATCTTTGTAATATGACTAATCTAATCTGTTGTTTTTTGGAGGAAGCTTTCTCTTTGTAAATCTTTGACCATTCAATGTGATCCGATCCTACCCATGGGAGTCCTGATTTGTTCAAATTTAAATTTTCTGCTTGATGATGCATCAATATCAGTATGACTAATCACACCTTTGATGGTTTTGAGGAAAAAAAAAGGTCTTCTTTGTACTTTTTTGTAAAACTTTGATCGCCAATTTTGGTCCTACCATACCTATGGGGTTATGATTTGAACGAATTTAAATTCACAGTACTTGAGGATGCTTCCATATCGGTATGACTAGTTATGTCTTAACTGGTTTTCAGAAGTTTTTTTAAGATATTCACCTATTTTTTGTAAAGCTTTGATCATCCATGTGGCCCCATTCTACCATCCTTCTACCTCCGGGGGGTGGGGTGGGTGTTTATAATTAGAACAAATATGAATATACACATCTTAAAGCTTTCACATATGTTTCAGCTTTTCTGGCTCAGGGGTTCTTGGGAAGAATATTTTAACATTTTTTCCTGTATATCCACATGTAAAACTTTAGTCGCTTATTGTGACCCCACCCTTCCCCTGGGGGTACGAGTTGAACAAAAGTGAATCAACACTATGTAATGAAGCTTTTACATAATTTTCCACTTTTCTGACCTAATGGTTCTTGCGAAGATTTGTTATAGATGCAATAAATTTTCAGTATCTTAATCTCCCCTTTATAGTGGCCTTGACTTTTCATTTTAAAAATTCTGAATTGTCTTTAAACAAGTGATACTTTATGGAAAGTCTGCTTGAAAATGACTCAATGGTTCAGCGAAGGTGATTAAAATGTGAAAAGTTTACGATAACAACCACAATAGAAACAACCGTACAGACAACGGACAAATTCTGATCAGAAAAGCTTATTTCAGCCTTCGGTTCAGGTGAAGTAAGTTTTTCTCTGATAATTTTTTTGTCATGAAGTGACAGTGACAAATTTAGGGAGTAACTATTTTCCAGTTGTTATTTGCGACAGTTAATGCTGATTAAGCGATCGCAAATTGAGTTTTACCTGCGTAATGGAGCCAGAAAAAACGGGTGTTTGCATCCACTTAATCAGAATAAACGGTCGCAAATAACAAATGAGAAGAAGATATATTTCTCATTCTAATGCAAATTATGCGTTTTGTTTTATGTGAATGTTGTTTTTTTCATGAAATGGGTAAAACATTGTGTTTTGTGTAAGTCTAATCATCAAAAGCTTGAAATCATTCTCGTTAATACTTGTGTAAATGCCTCAAATATCAGTGCATAAGCCAATCGAAATTGGTTTTTTAACAGTTGTATCAGAATGTATGCTTTGTCTAAAAAGGTATAATCTTTTGCAACTAAATATGAATTGTTTTTATTTACTTACGGTTCTATGATTTTTGAAGAACTCGGTAAGTAACTGGAAGAGGGACGTAATCCTGGTGAAACATTCATTGGTTGCATTTGTGTGGTGACATCGCCATACTTCATTCTTTTAATCACTAGTTCGTTGTTGGTGTGATTGTAGCAATTTTTGTCTAAACAACAGAAGAGTTAAATCCATGCATAGGAGGCAGTACATGTCTATATATATAAACAAACTTAAGTGCTCACCTTCGTAATATTAGCTTTGCTCGTCTTCAGAAGACATTTTCTCCTTTATATTCACGTAAAAAAATTGCACCTAAACTAAGCCACTTAGGTTTATAGCTAAATCACATACGAGTAAACTGTACTTGGTGGTGCTTTTTATCAATATGAAATAAAATAAATTAAGATTTTTTTTAGTGAATTATGTAAATTGACTCGGAGTGTTAGCCCTATTCTAACTTAAGTCTTGATAATCTGAAGAAAAAATTAAATTAACACGCTCTAGAAGTGTCTGAATATTTTTTTTAATTACCAGACCGGTAGACATTGGATGCTCACGCCTCCATGGAACCTGATCTCACCTCTGTTTTAAGAGACCCATGTTTGCTCTACACACAATTTGTTTTATTTGTTTGTACTTTGAGCATCGTTACTGTTCGTTATTTTCACATTTAGTTTGTAGTGCCTCTATCGATTTCTTAAAAATTACTTTCCATTCTCTCAAAAACATTTTAGCCCCAAAACAACCCTGCAGCCATAAATTAAACAAGCATGTAACAACCTTATTTAAGCTAGTCCTTTCCTCAGGTTTTGAAAATCAGCAGTTAGGTAGATGAAAAAACTAAGAAAACTTCACTGAATTTACAAAGTAAGGTGTACAAAATTATGTTTTTTCTTCATCACTATAATAAAGTGCAAAATTATCAAATCTCAAATGGAAATGTAAGAGCCGTTTTCATACGGAAAGTAAACTTACGCAAATGAATATGGCGTGGGGAAAAATTTGCATGTGCGGAAGAATTTAAACATAAAATTTATTTTTTTTCAATGATTCTTAATGATCATTGTTCCCATTGTGTACTCGTGCGCCGTGACAGTGTGAAGAATGTGTTCATAAGTGCTTGAATGTTTTAGATTCGCAGCACTGTTTGAGGCGGATCCTATTATATAGGGGAAATATCAACTATCACTTTACTCATTAAACTACAGAAAACGTACCATTACATGCTGTTTTGTCATTAGATAAATTCCACTTAGCAAGGTATTAAAAAGGGCACTCATCGCGATGCACTGGTCGATAAGACGTCATAAAATTTGAATCAGTTTGTATGCAGTGAAAGGCAGATTAATAACATTTTCACAAAGAAAGTGTACTTTATGATAAAATAACATATTATTTGTAGATATTTAAGAGACTATAAACTTGGTAAACTTGCTCAAGTCTCTATGTTTCAGTGCTCTCTTTCATAATTTTTGATAATGTCAAGCATGTCAATATTTGATAACATTTAACTATGGTAAAGAGCAGAGGAAATAATACAAAAATGACAAAGAATTAAAAAAAAAAAACAAAGAGACTTGAGCAAGTCTATAAACTTGGATGCGATGTCTCTTTATTATTTTACTCAAATATTCGTGTATCCTTTAGTTAACTGATACTGCCGTATATTTGTAAGCAGGTACATTGAAGGGCAATGTAGGGTAAAAATAAATCGAGCTAGTGCAAGGGCATTCACTCAATGAACCATAATAAGCTTTTACCCATAAACTGAATACTCTAGAAGTTTTGAGCTATTTAAGTGCTGCGATCCTGATGAAATCTTAAAGATAAATTAATTATTTCTGATTAACGCAGTTGATAAGAAAAAAAATTGAGCATGCAGCCTTACAAATATTTTAACAAATATATGTAATAGAATCAATATGATCACAGACTGCAATAACTGTTGAGAATATTCTTAATCTTATAATTTTAACTTGGTTATACCCTTGCAGCATTGAAATTTGAAGGTGGTCTAAATACTGCAAGTATATGCGTTAATATCACTTGACTGCAACATCTAAATAGAAAATCTAATTGTACTTAATATTTAGTAACTAACCATATTACATTCGTCCGATATATTAGTACCGTACAAAACGAAATCCATCGATTTAGAATACAGTTTTATAAGAAAATTCGCCGATATTTCCAGTAATGCGTTTCCATTCCAATATTAATGGATTTTAACAAAGAAAAATACGATGAATACAAGTATACTGAGATGCCTGTACATTAATGTGAAGATTTTAATACTTTTAACCTTTTCTTGCTGATTTTCCTTTATTTAAAAAAAGGTTTGAAAGGCTTGATAACTGACAAATTTCAATAGGACAAGTTCACCTGAGCCTTCGACTCAAGTATGCTGGGTAATTCTAGTGTAAGTTTCTCTCTCTCTCTCTCTCTCTCTCTCTCTCTCTCTCTCTCTTGAAAATGATAAAACATTAAATGTTTTTCTTTTCATAAAAAGTAGCTTTCTTCAAAAATAAAAATTAATCGAATTGATCAAATATAAATAAATGTATCACAGATAATAAAATACAGACAGTTGGAAAGATTGTACGTACAGAGATAAGCATCAGCTGAATTATAATGACTGCTGCAGGGTGGCGTAAATAATGAACAGTCTAGATAGTGATTTGGAAGTATTTCGCCAACCTCTTCATTGAATTCTGCACAAAACCCTAATGAATAAAAAAAATTGAATAAATTACTGTGAAATCAGACATTTTCTTAGTTGGAGGGGGATGATTTTTGTTCTTTGGATGTATGCTGAGACCCACGAATTCATGTACACTACGAAATGTAGAATTTCATAAACATATCACTATTCAACAGTTCCTAACAATGAAATCAAAGCCCCAAAACCAAAATTTTTTCTTCAACCCTCGAAATTTTGACTCCATGAAAATATGATTTCACATTAAGACAGTACACAGTTTCAAAATTCAAAGAAAGTTGATATAAAAATTTAGATTTTTAAATTTAAACATCAGAAAATATATATATGATTTTTTTAATCTTATTTTTGGCATCATGTCAAGTAAGCTCTGTATAATTTCCATTCACCCTCCTGTTAGGAAAGTTTGATTTATTTCAAGAAAATACCACTTTATTATTTAAATTATTTGGGGTATTTTTCAATTCTCATGAAGTCTTATTTACATGTTTATTTGGGTGTTGTTACTTACCATTTATTTGTTTCTCTGGTGAACACACCTCAAGCGTCTGATTCCCGTAAGAATTAAGGACACAGTGATATCGGATTTTTGTATAGTCTGTGCAGTTGTTGAGTTGAGCTTTCTCAGCATATTTTTGGCAGTTTCTATTCTTATTTTCTATTTCTGTTTTATTTGAAGGACATATTCGAACAATATTCACAGTTTCCTTCCACATCTCACAAAATCTGTTGTCACAAATGACCCATTCCTTTAAAATCAATACAGTAAAAAAACGGTCTTTAGAAGAAAAATGGGAAAATATTTCAATGTAGAGCATAATAAAATCCTTTATGTAACATATTGTTTTGCCTTGTGTACGTCTGTTTTGTGTATACATCTAACATGTATCATTATTAAAAGCTCACGATAAAAAATATTTCATTCTAAAAACGGAAGAAATATTAGTTCTTATTGCTCATTGTTTGCTTAGTTATTCTAAAATGAGTTTTCAAAAACGCTATAACCTAAGATTATTACAAAAATGTGCATTTAAAAGATGTCTACTTACTCTTGTAAATATCATCATGATCAGGAAAGGGAAAATGACCCTGTTACTCATTTCACAAACATTGACATCTATAAATAATATTTCCCAAGCAAAAACCTCTGTTGATTACCATGTCATCTAGAATTAAATTCAAAATTTCGAAATATTGAATATTTTATTACATGTACATGTGTATTATATAACTATTATTATTATTATAATTATTATATATATAACTATTTACCTTTGATAACAATTTAATAATATTGTAGAGCTAAAATTATAGAATGATTCACTTTACCTTGTATAAATAAATAAAAAAGTAAATTTACATGTTGATTTAATAGATTCTACGTTTGATAATTCAAATATTACTCAGTAGTATTTTAACCATATTTTACCAATTAAATTATTTAATTGTTAGATATAGAAATCGTTTAAAGGACTTTATAAGAAAGAAGCTTCCGTTAAAAGATACTCTCATATATTACCAATCGCTATCTAAATGTAGTAAGAAAAGAGTAGATGACCATAAAAACTTGTGCATTAGTTTTTCTTTCGACATGGGCAGACAACTCTTTCAAATGTCCTAAAAAATAAAATAATTTAGAACTTAATTAAAGTTCATACTTGAATGATTTGTGAAATTAAGCTATACATTTTTTTTCAATCCATTATTTAGAAAATTTGCTTAAATATTGTATCTCTTAATACTTCAGATACAATGATTTGCAACCAAAAACAAATGGAATTTATTGTTGTTATATTTTTTATTTGGCAAACAATAGCAAGATATATATTTTTTAAATTAAACTTAAAACATATTTAATCAGAGTTTTATAATTTATGATAAGGAAACGAAAAATCTCAGAGTCAATTAAGCATTTATTCGTAAACTTGTCTTATTTCGAATTTTCTCGACAATCTTGAGTCAAAACGAAAGTACTTTATTTAATACAATAAGATACTAAAAACACATAAAAGCACATATTTCAGTAACATGAGTGAGCAAATAATTATACACTCTCGCTGGATCATTACCCAAGTTTTAATGTAAAATAATATTTTCTCATTGTAAACAACAACAATGAATATACTTACGTAGTCTACTTCCTGTCAACTTATGGGCATTAAAAAAACGTACGCAAGGCTCACCTGTAGACTTTTAATGGATGATGTGTCAATATGAATTGAGTATATCTTCTAGGGAATGCATCAGAACTTGTGAAGTCCACAGTCTGCATGTATCTCGTAATAAATACAACACATTCTTCAACGGACAATATATAAATAGAACGTTGCTTAAATTATTGAGTAAACAAAGTGTTGAAAGCGAAGATTTGAACATAATCTGTGCAACAAGGAAAACTGGTCAATCAACGTAAATACATTTCCCCTTAAACCTGTTTAAAGATCCGACATATTTTTTTTTTTAGTTTGGTACGTTCTCTTATTCATCCAGATTTTATTTTACAAACCTAATACAAACTTATGGTATCATAATTAGGTTAGTGAAAAAAAAAAATATACATTAAAAATTACAATACAAGACTGTCTCGATAGGGAAAAGGTTTATAATGCATGTAGCAATACAAATCCTTCGACTTCGAAGTATTTAAATAAGCAAGAAATGTTCTTACATAAATATAGCGTAAAAAATGACTGTTATTTCGTACATGCATATGATTGTTCGCGCGTTCTTTTCCATTGAAACGTATCGGCTTGAAAAACTTAGAGGTCAACCAATTTATTGTTCAATTCCTCGGTATTGAAATTGTTTAATCGAATATGTTAAAACAAGTTTTTCCCCTCTTACATGTAAAGCTGAATATCGAGATGCATCCACATGGAAAGAAAGTTTGAAGCGTATTGCAAGACCTGAAAAGTTAAAATATTGAAGTGGTTACTAGTTTATAATTGTCAAAGAGGCTAGTGGGTCTTACTAATCATTTAAGTTTTTTTTATTCAATAAAACTATTAGTACATACATCGAACTTGCTAGAACATGTTTTTCTTAAACAATAAAATGCTTTCTTGTTGTTAAATGTAATGTAGGAATTAATGTTGCAGCTGTTGCAGAAAAAATGCCTAACCCGCATAAGGGGTTCAATATTATTTTTTTCTACAATAGATGTAACATTAATTCCAATAATGTGGATGTAAATATATAATCGTTATAAGTACATGGAAGATAAGTAATTTACGTATATTAATTTTTAAAATAGAAAGTTTTCTAAATGTTGATATTTACAAAGTAGCTGTAGCTGGCACATATAGTTACATACTGGAAGCAGATTTTAAGAAAAGACAAACAAACAAAAAAATAAAAATAAAAAGATGGGGGCTACAACCACCCGCCGATGTTTTCTCTGTGAACATTTTTCATTATTGACAAAATCTCTCAAAATTAATTAAAACATCTTAAATACACATAGTATCATTTGATTCCTTTTTTCCTTACATCAAAAATAGATAATTATGGTCAACATCAAATTTGCAACAATTTCTGATAAATTTCCTTGCCTCTGATAGTTTGATTGGTCTATTAACAAGACGTCAAAAAGTCAATTATTGGGTTCTTCACTTTAAATTCCAACATTTTTGAGAAGTAATTAATTCCGAAGGAAACCGATAGTTCCTAAAATCAACCGACAAGGAAATATACCAATCGATCTACTGCAACTTGTGTTGATAAAGGCAACCTTATTGTTACAAACAATCAGTAAATTATATTGAAACCGGTATATTTGAGTAAATTTTGATGTAGAAATAGAACATTCATTGCCCAGGATTTGAAAATTCACATGTAAATATGCTACACTATAACTTCATTTAATAAAAAATGTTTAATTTTACTTTTACCAAGAATCAACAGATCTCGAATAATTGAAATGGAACCTAATTTTTAATGTAGAACTAGGAAAATCAGAATGAGGAAAAACTAAACCAGCAGTTTTAAACATTTTTAAAACAAGATGTATTTGTGAAACACTGATGCCCCCGTATGGCAGCTTATGGCGAAGGTTAAAGTTTCTCAAATGCAAGTCAAAATCCAGGCCAAAAGATAAAAAATGTTGGAACCCATAGAAAGGTCTTGTCTCGTGGAATATGCCTGTGAAGTTTGAAAGCCCTAGCTGCAAATGTTCAAAAGTTATGGCGAAGGTTTAAGTTTTTTTTTTTTTAAAGTAAAACGTCAAGGTCAAGGTCAAAGTTGCTGGTATCCTAAGGAGGGTCTTGTCACAAAGATTACATATGCGAAGTATGAAAGCACTAGCACCAACCATTCAGAAGTTATGGCCAAGGTTAAAGTTTATCAAACGTAGGTCAAACTCCTATGTAAAGGTCAAAGGGTCAAAGTGGTTGGTATCCAAAGGAAGGAGATGTCACAAGGATATTTGAAGTATGAAAGCCCTAGCATTAATTCAAAAGTTATGGCCAAGGTTAAAGTTTTTTCAAAAGTAGGTCAAACTCCCAGGTCAAGGTCAAAAGGTCAAAGTGGTTGGTATCGAAAGAAAAATCTTGTCACAAAGATTACATACATGCATGTGAAGTTTGAAAGCCCTAGCTCCAACTATTCAAAAGTTATGGCAAAGTTTAAAGTTTTTGAAAAGTGGTCAAACTGCAAGGTCAAGGTCAAAAGGTCAAAGTTTTTGGTATCCAAATGAAGGCCTTGTCAAAAAGAATACACATGTGAAGTTTGAAACTCCAGGCACCAACTGTTTAGAAGATATGGCCAAGGTTAAAGTCTCATAAAATTTTGAAAAAGGTAGTCAAACTCCAAGGTCAAGGTCAAAATTTCAAATATGATGATATCCAAAGAAAGGTCCTGTCACAAGGAATACACATGTGAAATATGAAAGTCATACACTGTAGCTCCAACCAATCAAAAGTTATGGGCAAGGTTAAGTTGACAACAGACAGACAGACAAACAGACAGACAGGACAAAAACAATATACCCCCGGTATCTTTCGAGCCGGGGCATAAAAATTCAATGCCAAAAATTAAAACAGTCAGTAGATGACATCTCAGTATTTGACCTTTGACCTCTTAATAATACGATAATCTGTATTGTACATAAAGAATGGAGACTCTTTATAAAAGTATATGACGTTTAACAATAGGCTGATCAATTTTTCACTTGAACCAGGGTTGTCCCTAAGAATTGAAATAGAAGGGGACATTTAAAAAGAAGAAGAGGATTTTAGATTCCTCCCCTAATGGGGAGTTTAGGAGGAATACCATCATAACCGGGGATCGTTATTACATCATTAAAGGCGGGGAAATTTCCCAGGTCTTAGGGACAACCCTGCTTGTACTCAGTATTTATAAGAAAGGCTGCAAATTTAGCGATTAAAGTTTTAGCGGGCTACTATAATTCCAGCTAAAATAAGCCAAAGTTATCATCCCAATAAAAAAATCCCGTTATACGGTATCTGATATTCACTACAAATGAATCAAAAGAGAAAAGGTTTTTAAGGTCTGTTTAAGGTCCCGCAACTTTCAATTTAAAGTGCCAAGCAATTGGCGAAGGAAAAACTGCTTCCTTTTTTATCGCCTTAGGTCAGCCGCGGCCGGGCTTGAACCCACAACCTTCCAATCACGGAGAGCTCCACTGAAAGAGCTACTGTGACGGTCATTTCTATATATTAGAACTTTTTCAAGAAGTTCTGAAATTATTCTCCCTAAATAAAGTTTTACCCTTTTTGTGGCCAAATCTTAGCTTTAAAGGGCCTGCAGAACATATAGGTCCGTAGAACCGGGGGCATGGGGCTGTCAAAGTAATTTTTTAAGGAAATTTTATATTTGATTGTGATCAACTTCACCCAGATGTACATATAATTGCTTCCAACGGGCCTGACATATTGACGGTTGTATTTTAATATGATTAGATTATTGTTTCGATTTATAATGTGCCTTCTATTTACAAGAAAATGAATTAAAACGATTTTTTTACTTCTTGTCTTAAAAATTTTAAAATGTGGTTTCTCTATGTATGCAATAATGACCATAATTCGCAGAGGTCTGTCTCTACAAAACAAGACAATGCTTGCCATGAAAATATGAATTTGTGCCTCTATATACAAAAGAAGATTTAAAACATTGTGGCTCAAGGCAACTCGTAGGGATAGAACATTTCCATTGTACACATCGTTTTATAATGACCTTCTTTGTAAATACGATCTATCTAAGATGTATAATATATCTGACATGTTTCATACCATTTGTAAGGTCATTGCATTTATTCTAAACATGACTCATACTCAATCCATCGGAGTAATATGTAGGACTCACGGCGGGTGAGACTGTTCAAAAGGGGATGCATACTCCTCGTTGACACATGATATTACCTCTTATATTTTCTGAGTCCGGTTGTTTTGTTTTTTTTTTGTTTTGTTTTGTTTTTTTTTTTTGGCCTTGATCACGATCCATTTGTTCACCGGTTTTTTTTAAACTTCGTCATTGTTCTTTATTTTTACTATTTACCTCATTCTTATGTGTCGAAATTGCACACTAGAAAATATTTTGTTTGCGCTAATTCGAG